TCTCTCTCTCTCTCTCTCTCTCTCTCTCTCTCTCTCTCTCTCTCTCTCTCTCTCTGTGTGTGTGTGTGTTTGTGTGTGTGTGTATGTGTTACGTTATGTGTGCAGCAACGTCTCTCTCTCTCTCTCTCTCTCTCTCTCTCTCTCTCTCTCTCACACACACACACACACACACACAGCCAGCAACGTAGGCCGCCAATTCAATGCAGCGGTCGGGACGGTGGCATTTCACGTCCAGACTCGTACGCAGCGATCCAGAACGCTTTGTGGAGTGGTCGCGAGGGCTGATAGCCAGACACGTGTCCTCGCCCACCGGGGACACGTGTAAGCAGTCATGGGCAGGACTGTGCACGCACGCAACCAAGGACCCCACCTCCACATGTACGAGTCATGGGAAGCTATCATCCGAAGAATGCTCTGGGCCTACTCCAACACGCACCTTTCCGCCGGAATTCGGCCTCGATTCTTGCCTACTCGATGCATCCTGCGACCACTTGGTGCGAGCATGGCTCCTCTAGGCCCGTCCCTCTCCCTCTCCCACACCTCCCTCCTCTACCTTCTCTCTCCTTTCTCCTTACCGTGCATTCCGCCTCCAATCCCCACTTCCCCTCCCTTTTGCCATCCGCGTACCTAGTCAGAGGGGTCCAAGTTAGCTCTCTCTCTCTCTCTCTCACTCTCTCTCTCTCCGTCTAAAGGAGCCAAGTTAGCTCTCTCTGTCTTCTCTCTCTAAAGCAGCCAAGTAAGCGCTCTCTCTCTCTCTGTGTGTGTGCGTGTGTGTGTGTGTGTGTGTGTGTGTATGTGAGTGTCTCTCTGTCTGTTTGTCTGCGTCTGTGTGTGAGGATCTCTGTCTCGGCTGCGCTATCCGCGACCGCCACTTGGCGGCAACTGTGGGCCAGATCCCACTGGCAAAGAGGATTGGAAAAAATGTCTGAATCTGTACGTGTTCCACGCAGAGGGACAGAAAAGTAGATCAATGACAATTTTCCGCACCTGTCCACAAACACGTCCAGATTCAGACATTTCTTCCAATCCTCTTTGCCAGTGGGATCTGGCCCTCAGAAACGGAGGAAGTGGCCCTCAGAAACGGAGGAAGTGTGTCGCCCTTTTGGTTTGTTTTTATTTATTTATTACTTTTTAAATAAAATTTTGTTTGCGCCAACATAGGGAAGCGGCTCTAGTACCCAACATTCGACAGCTACAAGGCCTCGCCACGCCGCTGTCGAAACGAAGAGAGAACAAATGCATCTGCCGCAGAATGTGGCAAGATGCATTTATTTCTATTCATAGTAACGGATGCTTTCTCCTCGGGACGATGCATTCCTTCGTGTGTTTTTTTTTTTTTTTTCCGGCCGTGGTGTGGCGAGGGCCCATACACTGCCACCTACACCAAACGCATTTTTCGTTTTTTTTGAAGTTTTTTAACTACGCTATAGGGCATCGCCACACCACTCTCGAGGGGATGCATGTTGGCCCCCGCCCCAACCATAGTGGTCAAGGGTGGGGTGGGGCCGACTAATCGAACTTTTTTCTTTTTGTTTTTTTTTGTTTTTTTTCTTTTTATCGAACATTTCGAATGTATCCGACTCCGACTTCGAAAACGTCCAGATACATTCAGTATGCGGTGTAGTGCAGCGAGGGCCATGGTCTCGTCAAATTTTTTTATTTTTTTATTTTTTTTTTTTCTTTGAGGGGGCGTTCTCGTCAATTTCCGTGGCCGAGGTCCCACTAGCAAAGAGGATAGGATCAAGCTCCTGCATCTGGATGTGCTTTATGCAGCGGTGCAAAAAAGCAGTTCAATCTCGATGGCCTGCACCTCTCGACAATCACGTCCAGATTCGGGCATTCGATCCGATCCTCTTTGCTAATGGGACCACGCCGCGTGGCCCGGTTAGCGGGGCTTTTTCTTTTTTCTTTTTTCTTTTTTTTTCCTTCTTTTCTTTTTCTAATAAAAGGGCTGCGGCCTTGAGATATCGTCTTGCGTGTCCTTCGAGACATCTGTCAAATTTGGAACGATACAGAGAAGGAAGATTAGCATGGCTCTGGTGGAAAACCAGCTGGGACGCTAGGGCCGGTCAGAGTTGGGAGTGGGATGATGACTGGATTCCGCATGCAAAGCCTCCAGGTAAAAGAAAATGGAACGAGCAGTGGGGCTATGCAGCGTTGGTCTGTAGCGGGATAGTAATGGAGACTATCTGGAAAGCAAGAAATGCTTCGGTTTTTAAAGAAGAACAGATTTCAATTCAACAGCAGATGGGGATGATCAAGCAAATGTTGAGACAAACCATTCCGGGGGATTGGAAGAGAGCCAGACTAAGAGCCGGGGGAGGTATTTCGTGGTTCAGGAAAGTCTGGGGAGCAAAAAATGGTTTTGTGGCATTGACAGAGGAAGGCAAGCTGTTATTTTCAGATTGGCTTACAGAAGGTTTGTCTGGCCTCCTAGAGAAATGATTACTGTAGCAGATGAAACATGCTAGGCTCTTATAGCTAGCCCTTTTACTCTGAGCTT